CCCCCAACCCCCAACCCCCGCGTCTCTCTCGAATTGAATTCCTTGTTCTTTCAGGTTGAGCACTGTGGCTCCAGCGGTCATCCACTCTTGGCCGCTGGAGTTTATGAATCTGCACGCCCAGAAATGGTGAACCCCACCACGTCCACCCCCTAGGGGCAAGAAGAAGAATTCTGAGTTACTTGTCCCCTGACAGTTTAAAATAATGACAACAGCTGGCACCTTTGCTTAAAAGCCTGAGGTCCCCGCCAGTGTTTGCCTAGGGCTTAGGAAGTAGGAATCTCTAGTTCTCGAGCTTCGTTTTTCGCAGTAGAGAGAACTAAGGGGTTAAATTTAAAATGCTCCAAGGAGCAAGTAATTATAAGCCTTTATTGACACTGCAAGTGGCCCTCTGGGAGCCTTTCGAGTTTATTGATGTCTAAGCAAATCCCGCTTGCATTAATGCATTTCTGTTACACTGACTTCTCAACTCCCAGAAACTGCAAGAATAAAACAGTTTCTCACGTAAGTTAAAAGCGAACTGGGAAGCGGGGTCAGGGACGATACATGGTTAGGATGCTAAATTCCGTAGGTTAAAATTTGATTTTTAAACAGTAAACAATCATATTTTGGATGTTAAACCAAACACCATTCTCTGTCGGGAGTGGAGTAATAAACATCACTTAGTTAAATTCATCAAATATTTCTTGAGGGATTACCATGGGCCAGGCAATGTGTTAGAGCATGGAACACAGGTGAATAAAACACAGTATGACCAGACCCAAAGCTCACTCACTCAGAGGGGGACAACTTTTAAAGTAAATAATTTGAAATATGGCACTATGAACTAGAAGCACCATTTGAAACATATTCATGGTTTCTGGGTAAGCTCCTGGGTAGAAGCAGATGGGGTGTTTAAGTCTTTCTGAGTGGAAAAGGCAAACTTCCTAGTAGAGAGGACACGTAGATTGGGGTTTTCAAAGCTGACTAAGGAGTAAGCCAGGTAGAGGGAGGGTAGAGCATTTCAAGCAAAAGAAAGTGTATGTGCAGTTTCAGAGAAAAATAATACGTGGGTGCTTTCAGGGAACTTTGAAGCAGTCCAGTACTGTTAGAACAGAAAGTGAGGAGAGTGGTGGGTCATAAGTTTTCAGTGTGGTCATCATATTCTATTGCTCCATAGTGTGCAACTGTCTTCTCTAATGAGAAACTCCAAAGAAAATCTTCAAGAGAAGAGTGGGTTTAATTTATGTATTAAGCTTTAAATTACATTAAGAGTGACTATTTACCTGGTCTAAACAAAATAAAAAAAAAAAAACCCAACAGCAAAGCTGAAGCACATTAAGAACTACTTATGGTAATGCATAAGATAAATTTAAATGTTCAGAAGAGAAAAAGTGTATTCTCCAATTGTATAATGCTGCTGCTTGTGAATTTAAGTATAGAAACTTTTTTATTAAGGTGAACAATTCTGAATAGTTGATAATGGTTTGGCAAGACTCAAGGGTTTCTGCTTCCCATACCAAAATAATTTAGTGTTTGTAGTGCAATTTAATGTCATTTGTTTAGTATTGTTAGATTCGTGACATAAGCATTCATCGCAATTCACCAATTAAAAAATCCACTTAAGACAAAGTGAGGACAGTGTGGTTCTTCTCAATAGGTAATTAAGTGCAAGAACCATAAATATTGGGTAAGAAGTCTAGTCCATACAATGAATCTTGGAATCACCCCCTTCCAACAGAATGACCATTTTAATGATCTTGAGCAAATAGAGTTGTTCCTAAATTTATATTTTCTTTGGACTGTAAGTTCTTCAATTAAGAGAATGCATCTGTCTTTATTCAGCACAATTCTGCAATTGCATAGTACCCTATAAATAAATAATGTAAGTAATGGCAGCTGGTTTTAAAATGCTACCTTATCCTTTAACTTAATATAAATTCATGTTTTAATTGTTGGCTGTGCCTTCAGATTTAGCTGGCAAGAAATGGACAGACACTTGCAGTGGGTTTTTATATATTTAGTTGGGTTTTTAATGGCCCCTGACATTTTTTAATAGACTGTTTTTCAAAGCAGTTTTAAGCAAAATAGAGCAGAAAGTACAGGGAGTTCCCATATACCCTTGCCTTCTCCACACACTCAAAGCCTTTCTCACTATCGATATTCCTCATCAGAGCATTATATTTTTTACAATCAATGAACATACATCAACATATCACTATCACCACAGTCCATAGTTTACATTAGGTTTTACTCTTGGTGTTGTACATTCTATGGGTTTTGACAAATGACATATATCCACCATAATAGTATTGTGCAAAATAGTTTCATTGACCTACAAACCCTCTTTGCTCTGGCTGTTCATGCCTCCTTCCCCCTCTCCCTCACCCCAGTCCCTGGCCACCAGTAATCTTTTTACTGTCTCCAGAATTTTGCCTTTTCCAAAATGTAACATATTTCAAATCATACAGTATACAGCCTTTTCAGATTGGTTTCTTTGACTTAATAATATTCTGGCTGTTCATGCCTCCTTCCCCCTCTCCCTCACCCCAGTCCCTGGCCACCAGTAATCTTGTTACTGTCTCCAGAATTTTGCCTTTTCCAAAATGTAACATATTTCAAATCATACAGTATACAGCCTTTTCAGATTGGTTTCTTTGACTTAATAATACGTTCCATGTTTTTTTCATGGCTTGAAAAAAAGATTCTTGAAAGGTGTTTGTTTTTTTTTAGTCTTAATAATATTCCACTGTACAGACAATTCACAGTTTACCTATTTACTTACTGAAGGACATCTTTGTTACTTCCAAGTTTTGGCAATAATATAAGCTGTATACAGGCTTTTGTGAGGACATAAAGCTTTTCATTTATTTGAGTAAATAGCAAGAAACAAGATTTTTGGATTGTACTGAGAATATGTTTAGATGAGTAAGAAACTACGAAAGTGTCTTCCAAAGTGGCTGTACCATTTTACATTTTCAATAGCTGTGAATGAGAGTTTCTATTGTTCCATATCCATGTCAGCATTTGGGGTTGTCAGTGTTTAGAATTTTGGCCGTCCTAATATGTGTGCAATGGCATCTCATTGTTGTTTTAATTTATGATCCCTTAATAACATATGATGTTCAGAATCTTTCATATGCTTATCTTCTTTGGCAAGGTGTCTCTTCAGATCTTTTGCTCAGGTTTTTAATCAGGTTGTTCATTTTCTTACTGCTGAGTTTTAATATTTTTGTACATTTTGTGTAACAGTCCTTTATTGCATATGTCTTTTGAAGATATTTTCTTCTAGTCTGTAGCTTATTCTCATTTTCTGACAGTTTCTTTCACAGAGTAAAAGTTTTTAATTTTAGTGAAGTCCAGCTTATCAATTACTTCTTTCATTGATTGTGCCTTTGATGTTGTGTTGAAAATACAAACCCAAGGTCTTCTAGATATTTTTATATATTATTGTCTAGGCATTTGATCATTTTTATGTTTTACACTTAGGTGTATAATCCATTTTCAGTTAATTTTTTGAGAAGGTTGTAAAATCTTTTTCTGGATTACTTTTTTATTTTACATGTGGTTTTCCAGATGGTCTAGAGCTATTTGTTGAAAAGACTTTTTTCTCCATTATATTGCCTTTGCTCCTTTGTAAAAGATCAGTTGAATATATTTGCACGGGTATATATCTGGGCTCTCTATTTTGTTCCACTGGCCTATTTGTCTGTTCTTTCACCAATATTGCACTGTCTTAATTACTGTAACTTTACAATAAATCTTAAAGTAGGGTAGAATCTGTCTTCCAACTCTGTTCTTCTCAGTATTGTGTTGGCTA